TGCAGGGCTTCACGCAGGATGCAGCCTTGGGTCATGTCTAGCTACATCCGAAACTCCGACAAAGGAGACTTGATGGAAAAGCCAGGAGCACCAGCAACCCCTCAATAGCTCCATATAGCGATCGGAGCAACCATGACTCCTCACAAGTGCAAACATCAAGCACATAATGAAAAACAAGAACACCACAAAAACAACCATCTTGAAAATCTGAACATGATGGATTATGACTATATGCCGTGCATGCCTCAGTCCATGCCTCATTGCCCATCCAAAGCCTCCTCACCAATCTATAAAATGATAACAAGAACCATCCATTATCCCAACAAAACAAGAAAAGCCCAGCAGGAAATCTGGGGTATCTCGCGAAATGCCCATCAAACGCCTGCCTTGTATGGAAGTAGCACAGAAAACGCCATGCAGTGCAGGAGAGGCAAAAGGCCAAAACCAACAACAAGTACCATCCTTAAAGATGGGTATCCTATCACCACTGACTGCGTCTTCGTCCTGATCGTTCCCGTCGTCGTGTCCTTCGTAATCATGCCCTCCGTGGTGGTGGTGTGAGAAACACATCGGGAAACATAACAATAACCGCTGCTTCGACGCCCTCGTCGATCATCCATTGTATTTCCATCTCCGCCTCGGCCTGCGCATCCATTTCCATCTCCATTTGCATCCGCGCGTCTACGGACTCCTAAGCCGGAGCCGCATTCGGCTGAAACGTCTGCGGCACCGCCTCGCTGCCCTCCGCCTCAACGGTGCTCTGGTGCAACTGCGCGATCTGGCCTGCCATCGTCCGCAGCGCCTCTCTCGTCGCGTCGATGTTGAGCTCGCCGCGCTCAGACGCTTCTTTGAGGTATTGTTCCCATTCTGGGTCCATGGGTATGTTGAGGGCGCCCGAAGACTCGCGCAGGGCGGCGGCGTGGAGGAGGCGTGCGTTTAGGGAGAAGCCGACGGAGGAGGAGAGTTCGTTGGATGTGGAGTCCGAGTCTGATTCCGAGTCTGACGCTTCTGCTGCGCCGTCTTCGTCGTCGTCGTCGTCTTCGGCTGAGGAGGAGGAGTCGGGCATTTCTGTGTCGCCGCCGTTGTGGTGGTGGCTGGGCGGTTGCATGTTTTGCCGGGTGAGCGGGTTGTGCAGGAGGTGGTTGTGGTGTTCTAGTTCTTCGATTTCGACTTCAATGTCCGTCTTGACGTTGATGCCTGCGCCGTTGTTGTGGCGTGATGAGTAGGCTCGGCGTGTGTCGACCCATTCCCCTATGTCTACGCCGGTCGTGTCGACTACGCGTACGCCTTCGTCTCGCTCATAGCGCTCTCGTGCCCAGAGTGTGCCTTCCCATCTGCAGAAGCCTTGGATTTCGGCTTCGGTTAGCCCGAGCCTGTCGAATGCGTCAAAGAGTCGCTTGTGGTGTGGGAAGCGGCCGAGGCGTTTCCGGTGTGGTTGGAAGGCGTAGTTTAGACCCGGGTACCGCGCTTCGATTGTGTCGAGCGAGCCGTAGAAGTTTGCTGTTTCGATGCGCACTTCGCCGACGAGGTTTTTGGAGAGGTGCGCGCTGAAGGAGGGCGGGTCTGTGGGCGAGGGCGTGGGGAAGAGTGTGTTGTAGACGAGCACGCTGATGGGGTTTTTGCGGTGCATGGCTGCGGGTGTGTATATGGCGCTCTTTGAAGGTTCTGTCAAGGCGAAGTTTGTTGGTAGGAAGTGTGCCGCCGTGCGAGAGGAGAGCGTGGATAGATGAGGTGTCGCCGTCGCTCGCAGATTGCGCGTTTGGGTGCTCGAGTGTGAAAGGACAAGGCGGAAAGTGGGTTGTCGCAGAATGTGACCGCCTCACCCGCACCTTCTCTAACTTCCTCCTTACTAAGGGGCCGGCCAGGTGTGTGTGCTGACCTCGGGCGTGACCGCTGTTTCCAAGGTTCCCACGTTCTGACGCCGCCTAGCTCTCCCACTAGCTATCAGACGCTCGTCGGAATGGTGCACACCGGGTACCTGACAGCTGACTCTGCTGTCTTGCGCGTCGAGGTTCCGAAAGTCCCGTGGATGGTAATTTGCAAAATCCCTGAATGCACAGAGGGAATCGCTCGAATCCTATGTCTTTTGCGCTATCCTGCAGATCTTGCGGGCCAGAGGGGACACCCCGGCTTTTGCTGCGAGATTGGTCGGGAAGGGTCGACGGCGTTTTGCGACGAGAATGCGGCACGGCGACGACGTGGGAAAACGGTGCAGCTAGCCGTCACCACACAACACAAGCTAGAGAAGTCTGAATGTCGAGGCCGGCGAGGAGCAGGGGAAGAGCGAGCAAGATGGGATCAAAAGGGAGCAGGCGGGTATAAGACATGCACTCTACTCGCGTCAAGGCTCGCTGCCCTCACCGCCAGCACATGCACGATTATGGCTCGCTATTATTCTGGATCCTCACAGCTGGCCACAGATGTCGCAACAGGGACCAGACCCTGAAGGCCGCTATGCGAAGGCTCACACCGACGATCCCCAGTTTTTGCTCTTTCACCAGACTGACCTCGGCCACCCTATTGAACATTCTGCTCGCCACCTAGCACACCTGCTAAGCAGAAGCGTCGCTGCACCTGTCAAGCCTCGCCGACGGTACACACGAGAATCGCCGGCCTCTTCGCTGTCAAAGCATGCCTGGTGTAATCCCACCTGCGACGGCGGGTGAGTTGTAACCCAGCGCATGAGAGACCAATAGGTCCGCCCGCCCGCCGATTATCCGGGCCCGAGTATTCGACATGGATGCCGCGGGACGAAGCATGCACGAGGAACGACTGGTCCAGCTCTCTGTTCCACTGCCATGCCTACTGCAGGGTTACTCCAACTTGGCCCTTGCTATGCAGGCCAAGCCTGTGCGACTTGCTAGCATTTCCGTCGTCGCGCTCTTGCCGGCGACGACTTTCTTCCAGTGCGCCATGGAAGCGCATTCGCTATGCAGGGGTGGTGAAGATGTGGTGTTTACTTTTTGTTGTTTGAGGGTGTACTATGGAGGGATTGTGGGCGAGGTGATATGCCGAGAATCGGACCCCTGCCGTTCCGCCTCGATCAAGTTTGGAGCCGATTGGGCAGTCACCAGGATCACGTGGGTGCTGCTGACACATCGAGTCCGCGTACGCCGTGGCTGCCTCATTCCATCTATTCTCGATCCACCACACCCAACGTTTCCAAGTTTTCATCTGAACCCGTGACGAACAGTTGCCTGCAGCCCTACGGGTCCCAACCACGCCTCATCCGCACCCGTGACAGACTGCTGCCTGCGATCCCTTCGCCTATATAATCCGCCAAACTCTCAGCCTCTTCCGTCCTTCCTCATCCTAGTGCAGGGGTGATTTGCTTACCAGTGAAGATTCGTCTGAGGTAGCAATTTTGCTGGTTTAAAACTACATATATTGACTGCTCTGGTAGGCCTTCTGGGCCTTCCAGGAATTTTTGGAACCCTCTTCGTTGGTCTCGGTAAGCTTGTCGCTGCTGGATTGAAGAAGGGGTCGGTGTTGTGCATCTTGATCGGCTTATTTCAATGCATTCTTGTATAACCCGAAGATACTCGTACTGCATCGGGGGTCTTGCAAGAGAATGGGGCGAAGATATATCACTGCGATACCACCAGAGTGGTTGTCGGCCTCCACGCCATGTTCCTGGGGCTCAGACTTGGCGGCGGCACTGCGATAGACGATAGGAGGCTGACATCGCCGCAATAACGGCGCGTTGTATCGTGCGACGATGATCGAGTATAAGGCGCGAACTGTCTTGTACCACTTTTCGAGTTCTTCGACTTATCCGCCTCTGTCAGCTTTCCAATCTTTTTCTCTCCAATCTACGCGACAGACATGTCTGGTACCCAAGGACCTCCAGTGCCCGACCAGCTCATGGCAGATGGCCGAATCTCCTTCGCTAGCTTTGCGATGACTGAGCTAGTGTCTTTCTCAAGCCAACCTCTCACACGCCAATCTGTCTCTCCAGTTCCGTCAAGAGCAGAGTCGCCTTCCACAGTCAACAGTCCGGAATCCATGTCGACTATACAGCCCCAAAAAGACTCCTCATCTCCCCCAGCCAAGCCATTGCCCATGGTCACACACCATCCACGTCCCATGGGCTGGTGGTGGGAAGTGGCCGCCTTGTTGCTGAGTACTGTGTGCATGGCGCTGATCTTAGCTATCCTTTTTACCATGGATGGCAGGCGCATGAGAGACTGGAGACTTCCCATCCAGCCGAATTCCTTGATAGCGGTGTTTTCCACCATCTCCAAGTCGGCATTGCTAGTTCCTCTTGCCGAGTGCATCGGACAGCTGAAGTGGACTTACTTCCAGACACCCCAATCGAAGCCTGTAAATCGCCTTTATGACTTCGATCTGGCTACCCGAGGGCCATGGGGGTCATTGACATTTCTGTTCAACCTGCGATTGAGAAAGTCCGCTGTGTTAGCATCATTTGGAGCCGCCTTGACGATTCTTTCGCTTGGCTTTGAGCCTTTCACACAGCAGGTCCTGAGGGTCTACTCTAAGCCTGCACTACTAGTCAACACTACTGGGACTTTGAGCTCCAGCAAAGCATTGTCAGATGTGTGGAACACAGAGAATGCTGATCTGGCTGGTATGTTAGTCGCACAGACGGCAAGCGTCCTTTCATTAACTATGCTATAGGTATGGAGTACACTCTGGCTGTTGGAGTCATAGAACATGTCTCTTTGCAGGACATCAACTTACTAAGCAACGTACACTGTCCGACAGCAGAATGCAAACTTGATCAATTCACCTCTCTGGGTCTTTGCGATTCCTGCACCTCTCGAGACGTGTCTGTTGATGAAGACTTTAGGAACGACGCTATTGAAGTAGATGATGCGTTCGCAGCATGTTCCAACACCGCAGGCAGCTACAACAGCACAGTGACGAGTTTGGATTTGGATTTCGGATCGAATTATACTGCGATGAAGAAATATTTTGCAGCCGGCCCACCGACTTCGTTTGGGAGAGCTTGCACTTTTATGAGACTAGGGTACCCGGACATGGCTTTGTGGATTGAAACGGAATACAACGGTAACTCTACATGGCCCAGAGTGGGTGCTAGCTCACTTGAGAGGCTAACCAATGGATACCGACTTGGTATCCTTCGCTTAGAACGCAATGACATTGACAGGACACTCGGTCTCATCACTGCGAACAATGACGGCCCAGTATGGAATCCATCGAACTCTACTCCACAGATAAAGTTCTGCATCGGAGACTACGAACGTTACCAGGATAATGTCATGCTTGACCCTTACAAGCTACCACTGCCGGCTGTTTCTGCATTCGCTTGCTTCAAGTCGACGTCCGATATCACTCGTGTTGCCGAAATCGATCGACTTGGACTGGTGAACGGGACAATATCTTACTGCACACTAAACTATTGTGCAAAGCGATACTCCGGCATCACCGTACGAAATGCAGCCGTAAGCTACGAATCAGTGGAGGAATGGCCACTGCACCCGACTGGCGACCCCTATAAGGCAGGATCTGGATATGACCAAACGTTTCGGGCTGAAGGCTTAAACGAAACGTTCTATATCGGCAATCGTTCGACCCTTTGGCTCGGCTCTGCCACGTCGAGGATTCTCAAATCTACCATACTGAGCACGTATTTCGTGCCATACCACGAACGTCACACATGGCCCGAATTCTTCCGAGGCTTTGCAGATGTAGGAAGCAAAGTCATACAAGGCCCCGGCAACTCTGCAGCTATCAACAACACCAGTGAAGCTTACGGGCCGGATATCTTTGTTGATGTGAGATGGGCCTGGCTTGCGTACCCGTTGGCACTTCTCGTTTACTCCGCGCTGTTTCTTTCTTTGACGGCGCTGGGTAGCAGGAGGCGCTCTTACCTGTTCAAGAACTCGATATTGGCTGTACTCGTTCATGGTCTGGAGGGCTGGAATGCGGCGGATTGTCCTGAGCTGCTTACCGTAGCGAAAGAGAGGAATAGTGACCTGAAACGAGCTCTGGAACCGGCAAAGGCGTCTTTCACTGAGAATGACGACGGGTTGCTGAAGCTTAAGCGTGACTAACTTTCTCACTCAACGACGAGACTAATTCGGCAGGTGCGACTTGACTCTCGCTCTCACCTTCACTTTGGTTCTCACCTCGCGCTAGCTCCGCGCTCGGACCGCTGTTTGCCTAAAACTGCAAGTACTATCCCGCGCGAATCTCCTCCCACACTCTTCTCCTAACATCAATTGCCTGCGACGGCATCTCCACTTGCCGTGCTTTCTCGACGGCCGACCTAAGATGGCGACTCCTACCGTCCTCGAGATCCCCAAAACAACATCAGGTCCTGCCGATCCCCGCGCGCCCAGCATCCTCACAACCCTACCGCCTGAGATTCGCAACCGAATCTATGAGTATATTTTCAAGAGAGACAGACCCGTACTCCTTCACGACGGTCATGCGCGTCTCTCGGAATTGCGACAGGGCCTGTCATGGATAGCTCAGGATCAGGCCGATCCTCTTTTGGGCGGCATTGTGGAGCGAAATGTCCAGAGGGAGGATTTTCATCATGACTTTGATGGCTATGTAGGGCTGTTACTGTCATGTAGACAGGTCTATCATGAGGCAGTGGGCATTCTCTATGGGGGAAATACCTTCCTGTTTTCACGAGCTCTCACCAACCACCTGAAATCTGCCTGTGGATGGCTTACAGACATCGGGTCACACTATCAGTTGTTGTCTCGTGTACAAATTGACGCAGATGCATTCGGTCGCACGAGGTCTGAAGTTACCTCCCTACTATCATTGTTGAGGCTCATTTGGAACCACTCCGACACCAAATCGAAATTTGTATTCGCACTATCAGGATGGCCGTTACCCAAAAGAAAACGTCTCGGCTACGAAAGGAAGAGTCCTGTCCCTTTCCTCGATCTCCTGAACAGGCTTCTGTTCACGTTGGGCACTGAGGACGCTCTCAACCTGAGGCAGTACGCTAGACATCCTCGCCTGCTATCTTCGATTGTCATCACGCAGCGCGTCAATTCAAGTCCAGTTGGTATGGTCGACTTTGTCGACCCGAAGGAGCCGCGGTTCCATAACGTGGTCCGAAGATCCTTCCACATCTCAGACAACGGCGCCAAGGTCCAATGGGTGGAGTCTCGACACTCAAACATTCTACACCTTCCCAGCAGATTGTTATCACACATAAATTCCTATGTACTTGCATCGGACGCGCTTATAGTACTTGACCTCGACAAAAAGAAAGCGCAGGGGTACCATGTAGGACTCAGCGGAGTCAACAAGCATTTACGGTACCGCATCGACCGGGAGCGTGAGCAATTGTACAACGGAATGGTGATCCAAGCATCTACTCGGGAGGCTACTACCGACTTCAAAGGCTTCAGGGCTTTGCAAGACTGGTTCGATGTTGACAGGTTTGCCGAGTTGATACGACCGGATGCATGCTGGGATGAGGAGCGCTCTATCAGCATAGTGCTGAAGTTTGATTTATCTACACCACGCTCGACTAAGGATCTTCGAATCGACATCAGCAAGCTTTTGAGTATGCTCCATTTCCTACGTGCAGAACCAGGCAGCACCATTCAATTAGTTGATGGCAGTGACACGAAGCCCATCGTGTGGCACGATCTGGCCTGCAGGCTGTTTCTCTTGATTTCAGATGTTATGAAGCAGTGTCCTTCTGAAGCCGGCCGACCTCTTCCACAGATCTGGATCGATGGTCACGGTACTATCTTGCGAGCCACATATCCCGCCACGGCCATCTCTGGTCAGATCATCATACCCTATTCGAATACTATCGACAGTCCTACCGAAGTCCGCAAGGAAGGCTATGCCAATATCAAGGGTATTTGGAACAACACGAGCATTCAATGCGACACATATGATTTCCCAAATACCGATACCTTGATCGGGCTTTGGTTTTACTTAGGAGGATACTTTTGGAGCGACGGGTGGAGTTTTGAGGCTGCGGAAGAAGAGTCATAGAGGAAGAAAGCCAATGTTTGGACCTAGGGCGCATCTATAAGAGCAGGAAGAACAGGTGAAAATGTATGATGGAGTGTGCACATACCCGATGGTAGTAGCACAAGCAGAGCCGAATGCGTAGTAAGGCGTGGAGGAGTACGATTGAGTCTACTTGGCCAGTGCTCTAGCATCAGCACCTGATCAGATTAATGGAGTGGCGTCTCGAGAGAGTTTATGCATGAATGAGGGACGATGAAGGACACTTAGTTCCAAATGTACCTGGCGATACTCATCTTAATCATCTATGCCAATCAACCGATTTCGCTTAACAGTTCCTCGAACATCCAAACGGAAACGGAAGAACAGCCGGACTCTTATACCCGCCCTTTCCCACACTCCTCACCCCAAAGATAACATTATCCTTATGAATCGTCGCCGAAGTAAGGTTAAACCAACTCACATTCCCCACCTCAATAACATTCGTCCAATGCGGCTCAATCGTGTCACGATACAGAATCTCATACCCCTCAACCGGCAGCCCCTTTGGCGCGTCCCACTTGAACTGGCTGAAGTTGTCGGACGTCGTAGTGTTGATACCAACATTCGTTGGCTCACCCGGTGCGTTGGCTAAACTCCACATAGTGGATGCAACGACCTTGGCGGCGCGCGTGTTGTACTCAAAGTCCAGCCATTCGACCAGGTCGCCGTATTGCTTTCCATTTCGTACGGTAACGTTTTGGTGCTGTTGCGTGTAGTCCTCGTTGGGCTGGACGAAGCGAACACCTGTGTAGCCTGCTTCGAGGAAAGGGCGGTGGTCGCCGCCTCTGCTGTATCTGTCGAGACGGTAGATGAGGCGCACTGTCATTTCCGTGAAGGCATTCGATGCGACTTCGTAGATGAAGCGACCCATGTTACGAGCAGGACTGTCGTTGTCGCCGCCGATGCTAAGACGCGATGTCATCTTTGTAGAGTTCTCAGTCAGAGGCGTGCCCTGGCAGAAGAGGCGGATGTTGTAAGGATCGATGGTGCCGTCGGAAGCTTTGGAGTTGCCGACCATGTCAAGGTTTATCATGCCTGCTACATTTACGGATGCATTCTTGTAGGTTTGGGCGAGGTTCTCGGCGCCGAGGAGACCTTGCTCTTCGCCGGCGAAGGCTGTGAACACGATGGTTGTTTTGGGCTTGTAGTGTGCGAAGATGCGGGCGAGTTCGAGGGAGACTGCAACGCCTGAAGCGTCGTCTACGGCACCGGGTGCGTCGCCTTGGTAGTCGATGGGGTCGCTGTTGCGCGAGTCATAATGCCCGCCTGTTACGTAGACGCGATCTGGGTCCTCGCTGCCTTTTAGTGTTGCGACGACGGTTGTGATGTTTACTGGGAAGATGATGCGCTCGTTGTCTCCGGGGTATTTGATGAAGCTGTTCCAGTCTACGGTCATCCTTCCCTCGCTCTCATCGGCTGCTTCTTGGAACTTAGCCGTAAGCCATGTTCGTGCAGCGCCGATGCCTCGGTTCGGGTCAGTTTGGCTTGACAGGGTGTGACGCGTGCCGAATGATGCCAGCTTCCGGATCGTAGCCTCGATGTTGTCGCGCGATATTTGCGAAATGATATCCTGAAGGTCTTCATCCGGCATCTGTTGCTCTAACGCCTTTCCAACGACGGGCAATGGCCATTGTTGCGCACTCGGAAATGATTGGTGAGGATGATGTGCGTGGATAGGTGACGAGAAAGCCGTCTGCAGCAGTGTCGCCGCGCAGACTGCGAGGATGGATGAGGACCGCATCTTGATCGATCTAGGCAATTGGCTTGGACGATACAAGAGATGCTACCCAAATCTTCTATTCCTACATTTTATACTCCACCATTTTCGCCATCCCACTCTTCGCGACAGGCTGTCGACTGCCGGTATCTCCAACATCTCGCGATACCGCAGTGACTGCCGTCATCGGAGAAATGCAACTCTTGCTATCATGGCTTTCGCGAGCGCCGATCTGTATCGTAATTGGAAGCTCGTAATGCTACCAAGGCGCCAGAAGGAGAATTAGGGAAGACTTCAACAGCTTTGCTGCATGCTCAGCTTGGCAACGGGTACTGTGTGCGGGGTTCTCCATTGAGCTTCCGACCATTTGCGACGATATGCGATAACATCGGTCGTCTTCCGGAGGAAAGACCATGAGTAAAGCCACTGCGGCCTCGCGACGCTTTCCATTCTTCTGGCTGTCTGGTCGCGAGGGCAGTGCTGGTGTTAGTTACCTTCGAGGTGGCTGGGAGCCAGGGGTCTCGATCACGCAGTTTGTGTCGCGCTTTGCGAACCACATCTGCATCGATTGTGCAGTATTTTCAAAATCGCTACAAATGTCGTGATTGAAGTCTGGTGAGCACATCGGCTTGGTCAGTCCAAATCGAAGGGAGAACATCTGAACAAGATAGCAAAGATGGCGCTAACCCCAAAGCTTGGCGTGACATCATCGCATTGACTGGGAAGCCACCAAATTACAACAATGCGACTCGATGACAGTGACATTCCATGAGCACAAGTATCTGTCAGCAGAGGTTGTGATTATACACCCAAAATATGCAGCAGCGGCTGCTTCCCGGCGCTGCATCGAAGATTTCTCACTGATCGACGCCTCGTAGCGCCGCAACAAGCTTGACAAGCCTCGGCTGCACGAATCGTATCGTCGATGGTTCTCACGTTGCGCAGCATCGGCTGTGGAAATGTTCTCTATTCGTCCTGGAACCCCATGTCTTCCCCACGTGTTTCGAGATATCCGGTGGTACCTGGGGTTCATGAACGTGCTAACTCCAAAGAAGAAGGTAACAAGACTGGCAGCAACACCAAACACGGAGTGAAAAGCCAAACTAGGAGTACACAATAAAGGCCCGATGCATCACAATGCAGGTCATTTAAAGCGTCGGACAGGAACTAGGCAATCACTGGTCAACGTGAACGGATCAGGTGTAGTCATTGGGTGTCGACGGCGGTAAACAAGAACAGTCCAGCTTAACGAAGCGGAGGAGGAAATTGAGCTGGTAGAAATAGGCATGTAGGTAAGGTCTGATGACATGGCTTGCCAATGTGCTTGCAAGAGACGATGCAGTAGCGCAGGAGATAGTACTGAAGTGGTTATGGCCACACTCGCTGTGCTTTAGTAGGACGATGGCTCAGAATACAAAAGGTCAAACCGTCCACCTACTCTTAGTGGATCATCGCTACCAGCCTCTTCAGACTTCCTTCGTTACAAATCGGCCACTTTCGACAATCGCTCAACATGAAGACTTGCGCTCGCTCCCTTCTTGCCCTTGCGGCTATTCTCACCACTGCCCTCGCTGCGCCAACGCCTGCGAGCGGGGTGAGCTTCCCCATCACTGACCTCCTCGACAAAGACCTCACTGTCGAGGAGTACGCGGCACAGCTTGAGAACCAGGACGTTGAAACACGTGACTTTACCAAGCGCCAGTTCAGCGGCGACACTTACAACCAACTGACTGACGGCACCGCCTGCCGTCGCGTAACTGTCATCTACGCTCGTGGTACTACCCAAGGTCAGAACTCTCTACTGATCGTAGGCGAGTTGTTCACTGATACCCTTTCTAGCGGGTAATGTAGGCGAGGCCAACTCCGAAGGCCCAACTTTCTTCAATGCTCTGGCTTCGCGTGTCGGAGGAGCTAGCAACTTGGCCATCCAAGGCGTTACCTACCCGGCTAACGTCATTGGCTTCTTGGCTGGAGGCGACGCCGCAGGTGCCACCACCATGTTCAACTTGATCAACCAAGTGAGTGTCATCATAACTATTGATATATCAGTACGATGCTAACTGCGCACCTAGGCTATTACACGATGCCCATCAACCAAGATCGTTGTCTCCGGATACTCCCAAGGCGCACAACTCGTGCACACTGCTACACAGAGGCTATCAGCCTCCGCCGCCTCGCGTGTCACCGCCGTTGTAACATTCGGCGATGCTGATCGTGACGAGTCTTTCGGCTCTGTTGCTGCCAGCAAGGTTCTTATCATCTGCCATACTGGTGACAACATCTGCGACAACGGCATCATCATCACCCCTGAGCACAGAAACTACGAGATCGATGCTCCTACTGCTGCCGCTTTCGTCGCCGCTCGCGTTTGAGTTCGAAGTTGAGGGAGGCTGGAAGTACGATCATATATGATTAGTTTAATGGTTACGAAAAATTTACGCTGGGCTACTGTTTGCACGATCGTTTCTTGGTCTTGACTTCCTTCTCTTTTCGGTGCACGGGAAATACTTTCGAATGTTTCCAAAGCAAAGATGAAGATTGACGCGACAACGTGAAATAGGAAGGGAAGTCTAGTGGCCGGGAACATAATGACGGTCTATGTGCAAAGGAATCATCTATCCTCCGGCGTGGAGCAGTAATAGAGCGGTGAAGAGACATTCAGGCCGCCAGGGCTGAAGAGAAATGAGTATCAGCAACGGTGTGCGTAATTCACGGGCAGTTGTAGACTTTAGAAGGCAAGGTGCCCGACATGTTGTCGTGGTCTTTGTTCTCCCCGTTTCGCCGTCCGCGGGTGTCAAGTGCTCTGCCGCCTTCAGGCAACCCCAACATGTCGTGCTTTCCGCATCTCATGTCGAAATGGCGCATCCATTGCAACCTTTCGCGGAGGATTACCATCAAACCGACGGAAACCGCACCATACTTGGCAAGCCACTGGAAAACTCGAGTGAAGTCATAACCAAAAGGGTCCGACCCGTGGACGCTTGGGTCGCAAGCCGCCACGCGCGAGTCATTTAGCGCAGATGTCGTGCTCGCCCCATAGAAAACACCAAACGTCTCGATTGCGGTGATTGCCTCAACGTCCATCACTAAGGGAGAAAAATTGGATACCAAGCTCGCCAAGCATCGCGGTGTCGTCCGAACTCTTAAGATATGTAGTCTCCACGTTTGACTGAGGTTCTTCACCTCATCCCGTTTCTTTTCTCTCCATCTTTCGCCTCCGCATCGCCATGTCGTCCGCCTCCTTGTCTGAGCCTTCGGGCTCCATCAAGGGTTCTGGACCCTTCTTCCGCTCGGTACCTTTCCAGATCCTGGTCGCATGTGGTGTCTCGTTCACGGCTCCGGGAATGTGGGATGCGCTTGGTGGGTTAGGGGCTGGAGGTGCCGCTGAACCGTACGCCGTCTCTGCCGCCAACGCTCTGGTATACGGACTCTTCGCTGTGGTCTGTGTTGCTGCTGGAGCTATCAACAACCGTATCGGATTAACGTATGGTCTTGCATTGGGTGCTATTGGTTACCCTCTGTATGGCGCGGGTCTCTACACCAACAACATCTCTGCCAACACATGGTTCATGCTGTTTGGTAGCGCGCTTTGTGGTATCTCCGCTGGTTTCTTCTGGGCTGCTGAGGCGGCTATCATCATCGGATACCCATCACCTGGAGACCGCGCTTTCTACCTTGCCATCTGGCAGACCGCAAAGGCACTTGGGCCGATTGTTGGAGGATCTATCAACCTGGGACTAAACGCGAACCGCAAAACCACTGGATCGGTTTCATCAACGACCTACATCGTGTTTATCGTTATCATGTGCCTTGGCCTTCCGGTAGCCCTGTGCTTATCGCCAGCGCACAAGGTCTGGCGAAAGGATGGCACAAGGATCGTCACTGAGCGCGCCGCAACCTGGGGTGCCGAGTTCAAGGCCGTCGGCAAGCTGTTCGTCAGCCGCCGTATTTTGCTCCTGCTGCCAGCTTTCTTCATCAGCTACTTCTACAATGGCTTCATGAGCACGTGGTTGACGACCTACTTCACCGTTCGAGCTCGCGCGTTCTCCTCTTTCTTCACCAACTTCGCCGGCATCTTCTCCTCATTCATAATCGCCTTCCTACTCGACAACCAGAAGATTCACATCAAGAAGCGCGGTCGCATTGCATTCTGCACCATCATCACCATCCTTGTCGGCACGTGGATCTGGGCGACGATACTCCAGAAACAGAACTACGATGCGTCGGAATCCCCGGTGTTCGATTGGTTCCAAGGCGGCTTTGGAAAGAGCTACGCGCTTGTCTTCTTCTGGCAGTTCGGCGGCCAGGCCTTCCAGCAATTCCTTTACTGGCTAGTAGGACAGTATGCGACCGATCTTTCCAACTTGAGCCATCTTACTGGTATCCTGCGTGGTGTAGAGGCACTCGGTCAAACTGTTGCTTGGGCGTAAGTACTGTCATTCGTGAAAAGCATTCGCAAATCATTGACTAACAACTGGGACAGTATGCAATCTGAAGGTGGTGCAAACCACTTTGTCAGTATCGGTATCAACTTTGGCATCACGGTGCTGTGTGTCTTCCCAACCTGGATCGTACTATCGGAACTGGAGGGCAGCCACGAGGTTCGCGTCACGGAGGATATAGTCCCAAACAAGTCTCACGATGACACAGCTTGAGATGTGCGAGGGCACCTCAAATTACAATACATTTCTTGCATTCTTCACAACCAACGCACTGCTGCTCCCACCTCCCTGCCGCTTTCACTAATCTTTCTCGCGCACACTCTAGCCATCATTCACATACCTTGCGAACTCTATCAAACCAAAGCCACCAAACGACATGAGTGATCTTGAACCGCCGTTGTCGCAGTCATATCGTCCTGATGGACTAAGGAACACTACAACCTGGTGGAATCAGTCAGTCTAGCGCAAGTTTGTTCTTGAAAAAAACTTACGCATTGGCTTCCCGTATATCTAACTTTGCTCAAAGATAGTCATCTTCTTCCGAAGGCCCTGAAAGGCTATCCTTCTCCACTTCCACGACTT